TGGGGTTGGAAGGGACATCTGGAGATATCTACTCCAACCCCCTGCCAGAGCAGGTCCACCCAGAGCAGGTCCCACAGGAGCGTGTCCAGGTGGGTTTGAATGTCTCCAGAGAAGGAGACTCCACCACCTCTCTGGGCAGCCTCTGCCAGGGCTCTGCCACCCTCACAGGAAAGAAGTTCCTCTTCACGTTTAGATGGAACTTCCTGTGTTCAAGTTTGTGCCCATTTCCTCTTGTCCTCTCACTGGGCACCACTGAAAAAAGCCTGGCCCCATCCTCCTGACACCCACCCTTTCAGTATTTATAGGCATTGATCAGATCCCCTCTCAGTCTTCTCTTCTCCAGACTAAAAAGACCCAAGTCTCTCAGCCTCTTCTCCTAAGAGAGACCTTCCAGGCCCCTAATCATCTTTGTAACCCTCTGCTGTACCCTCTCCAGCAGTTCCCTGTCCTTCTGGAGCTGGGAAACCCAGAACTGGACCCAGTGCTCCAGATGAGGCTCAGCAGGGCAGAGCAGAGGGGCAGGATGACCTCCCTTTCACTTAACTGTGTTGCCTCATGGACATGCATTATCTTTCCCCTCTTTAATTCCCATGTTCAGAGAAATAAGGAAAATACCTACTGCCATTTGTTGCATTTAAAGCTCTCTGAAAACCAAGTGCATGGAATTCTTCAAAAGAAACCAAGGACTGAAAGTGTTTTTTTCATCCCCTCTCCTCCAGAACTGGACCCAGTGCTCCAGATGAGGCTCAGCAGGGCAGAGCAGAGGGGCAGGATGACCTCCCTTTCACTTAACTGTGTTGCCTCATGGACATGCATTATCTTTCCCCTCTTTAATTCCCATGTTCAGAGAAATAAGGAAAATACCTACTGCCATTTGTTGCATTTAAAGCTCTCTGAAAACCAAGTGCATGGAATTCTTCAAAAGAAACCAAGGACTGAAAGTGTTTTTTTCATCCCCTCTCCTATTACTAAGGAAGTAGTTAAGACCCTGATGAACATTCCATTGGGCCATGTCAAATAGTTCTTCCTCTTACCTTTGGTATTTGGCTGCACAATAAAGCTCTCTGAAAACCAAGTGCATGGAATTCTTCAAAAGAAACCAAGGACTGAAAGTGTTTTTTTCATCCCCTCTCCTATTACTAAGGAAGTAGTTAAGACCCTGATCAACATTCCATTGGGCCGTGTCAAATGGTTCTTCCTCTTACTGTTAGTATTTGGCTGCACAACGTTTTCTACCAATGCACTCGTGGCAGCTGCTTCAGTGCAATTGGGAAAAAAAAAGGTGGCCTGGTAACGAGTCAAAGATCATAGAATCATAGAATCATTCAGGTTGGAAGAGACCCTTGGGATCATCGAGTCCAACCATCTACCCTACTCTACAAGGTCATCCCCTACACCATATCCCCCAACACCACATCTAAACGGCCCTTAAACACATCCAGGGATGGTGACTCCACCACCTCCCTGGGCAGCCTGTTCCAATGCCCGACCTCTCTTTCCATGAAAAATTCCTTCCTAATGTTCAGTCTAAACCTACCCTGTTGGAGCTTGAAGCCGTTCCCTCTCGTTCTATTGTTAATTACCTGTGAGAAGAGACCAGCACCAACCTCTCTACGGTGTCCTTTCAAGTAGTTGTAGAGAGTGATGAGGTCTCCCCTCAGCCTCCTCTTCCTCATACTAAACAGTCCCAGCTCCTTCAGCTGTTCTTCAATATGATTTGTCTTCCAGGCCCTTCACTAGTTTCCTTGCCCTCCTCTGCACTTGCTCCAGCACCTCCAGATCTCTCTTGTATTGAGGTGCCCAGAACTGGACACAATACTCGAGGTGTGGCCTCACCAGTGCTGAGTACAGGGGCACAACCACCTCCCTACTTCTGCTGGTCATGGTATTTCTAATACAAGCCAGAATGCCAGATGGAACCAGGTTTTGAGGCAGGATTAGAGGGGTGGGTAGGTGCAGAAGACCCTCTTCTCACTGCCCAGGGCTGACACTGCAGCAGACGACATGTCTGTGTACCCCCTGTGAGAGATCAGGAAAACGTTCACTTTCTGTCCTCACTACCTGGTGTCTGGAGCTAAATTGAGCTCCCTTTTATTCAGGAATTGCTCAGGGATGGTCTGAGGAAAAACAGAGACCACAGCACGGAGACCAAGGTTGCCCTTGCCCCTTCTCCAGGGCCACGCTTAATGCCGTGAGGGATTTATTAGGTCGGAGCCGTTGAACCCACGGCACACGGCACATGTCCTGGAGCGCTGCGGTGCTTAAGCAGATTTACTCAGGGGGTTATGGAAAGTGCCCGGACATAGCTTTGCTGTCCCTCTTAACCATCACTCTTTCTCATCCATTTTTCAAGTCTCAGGGGGATGGAGAACCAGCCACAAGACAGAAGATGACAGCCTTAAAGTGAAGATGATGCAGCGAGGAGCGAGCACTCACACTAACCTACCTGTGATTTCTTCCAAGTTTATCCAAGCAGGATGATGGCGAGAGCTTTTGCAGATTTAGGCACTTTGGTTACACGTGTTTTTTGCTTCATTCTCTTTTTGCTTTAACTGCTGGGAAAATGTGGCCTTGAGCAACCTGCTCTAGTGGGAGGTGTCCCTGCCCATGGCAAGGGGGTTGGAACTAGATGATCTTTGAGGTCCCTTCCAACCCAAACCATTCTATGATTCTATGATGATTCTATGAAAATCAGCAGTGGAATGGGAAGAAGGAAAGGAAAAGAGGGGCCAGACCATTGTACCAGCTGCCCCCACTTCTACTGAGGTCAAGCAATAACCCTGCGAGCTCTGAGCGCCTTGAAAGGTGTGGGGGATTCCCATTTTGTAGTCCAGGCAAAACTACACCCACTGTTAAACCTATTTTCCCCAGCAGCACTACACATGCACTTGTTCATAATCGCTCCCCAAAGCCAACCCTATCACTGTGGATGGACTGAGTGAGCAACCAGGGTCTGGTTTGTGCTTGTCTGTGCAGAACTTGGAGAACACCAGGAGGAGGGGAGAGAAGCAGCAGGTCAACATCCACAGCAGAAATCACAAGGGTGGTAACTCCTACTCCCCCAGGAGCCCCTAAAGCCTCTTCAAACCATTCTTCTGCCATGACTGAATTGCTGCGATTTATGTTTCCCTAAAACCTATTCAAAACCCATGGTCTATAGACAAGTTGGGCATTTGTTCTTTTTTTTTTTTTTATATATATAAAAACTGACAAATCCTTTTATGCAGTTACAGCTGTTTAAGGCAGAAAGTAAGTCCCCACAGGAAGAGGGAGAGGTTCAATCAAGCCCTAATGCTAACAAGTACGACATACCAGGATTGGTAGCTCTGTCATAGAATCATAGGATCATCTAGGTTGGAAGGGACCTTAAAGATCATCTAGTCCAACCATCAACCAAACTCTGACGAAAAAATAAATAAAAAATAAGCAATAAAAAGAAACCCAAAACCAACACACTAAATCATATTCTTGAGGACCATGTCAACCCGTCTTTTGAACACCTCCAGGGATGGTGCCTCAACCACTTCCCTAGGCAGTCTCTTCCAATGCTGGATAACCCTTTCCATGTAGAAATGTTTCCTAATATCCAATCTAAACCTCCCCTGGCACAACTTGAGGCCGTTTCCCCTTGTCCTATCTCCTGTGTATGTAACAATCCTCACAGCTGTGCACTGATTACACAGAGTGAGATGTGCAGAAAACGTTTGAAACGTCCACAGAAATACTGGGCAGCAGTTCAGGTGCCTTATTTCTGGAACACCTCCGAGGTTGCTCTTGGCTGTCACCCACCAGACAATGGGTTTGCAAGCACAACCCCAAGCTCACCAGGCAAAGGATGTCACAGGAAGAGTCCCTGTGCTCTGGGAAGGCAGTGAAAGCCTACTTTCTCTCAATGGTTTTAGTTCATAGTCACTTTATAAGATTGAAGTTAACATGACAGAGTTAAACACCGCTCTCAAACGCTTGGTTATACGCATTCCAGGATCATCTAAAGGCAGTAACAGATACATCATGGAGGGCTTGAGTAACAGAGCAGTTGCAGGAGCCACAAGAACAAGCTGCCCAAATTTCACACCAGGCCCAGCCACCACAATTACAATTTCACCCCAGCTCCCCATACAAATGCCTGCCTCGTGCACAGAACAGGCATGTTCAAAGATACAGACAGATTTCCCAACTAGATCTTCTCAGGACAGAGTAATTTAGTAAGATAACACATGAGAAAAAAAAAAAAGGTAACTCTTCAGTTGTGAATAAAACCACCACTGCTCGGGAGCCAGGACACGACTCCCTGTCACACCATCAGTATTTGAAAGACTTGGGGGACTGTCCAAGAATAGGCTGGATGGGGCTTTGAGCAACCTGGTCTAGTCCCTACCCATGGCAGGGGGTTGGAACTCGATGATCTTTAAGGTCCCTTCCAACCCAAACCATTCTATGATTCTACGAATGTGGGGCTACTTGAGCTCCCTTGATTTTTCTTCAGAAAATTTCCACTAGTAACTAATAATTGGTGGTGGGAGAATGCTTGTGTAGCTGACGTCCACGAGCAAGATTTCACAACCAGCTTAACCCATTCGAAGACCCTGATGCTGCCAAAGGAGGGTGGGAAAGAGAAACGGCCCTTCTTACAGCACCATCTCCTTGTGTTGGGTTAGGGACTATATTAAAACCTTTGTCTCATCAGTAAAATATGGATAAAAGCTACTATATTAGAAGGGGCCTCGCACACCAGAACAGCACTAGCTTTATCAGGCAAACCCAAAAATGTGAAGGTTAAATACAGAGATTTCTGCTTCAACAGGGGGACTGAAAATTGCTCCCTCCCTGGCAGAAACAAGCAGAGCACAGGTTATGGGGTTCTTCTCCAGTTTGCCTTGTGCTGTGGTAGCTGCACAAGTCAGATGCTGAAAGGGTCCGACACGAAGCAGAACCTGATTTAAATGAACATTTAAATGAACCGTACACACAACCGTGTACACTTTTTTAAAAAAAGTAGAGAAAGACAAGAGTAGAAAGATGAAACAGGCCAAAAGATTAGACACAAAAGGGTTTGAGAAAAAGGTTTTTTTTTCAAACACGGCAGCTTTGCAAGATAAAATAAAATGAATCCCTCGCCATTCCAACATCAGCCTTTGTGACAGAGGTTCTAGTTGGCAATTTCAGTGAAGGACAAGATTCAGAAGGACATGGAAATTAAATGCGTGGCCCAGCCCAGGCAGAGGCACACTGGCAGCGCAGTCCCTACAGCCATGACACTCATTCAGTGGTTAAAAACAAAATCTCCAGTCTTCAACCAGCAACCATCCACCTATTTTAACTGAGCATTAAACCAGATCCAACCTCAATACCCAGTACACATCCCTCCTCGCACGCCAGAACAGCACTAGCTTTATCAGGCAAACCCAAGAATGTGAAGGTTAAATACAGAGCTTTCTGCTTCAACAGGGGGACTGAAAATTGCTCCCTCCCTGGCAGAAACAAGCAGAGCACAGGTTATAGGGTTCTTCTCCAGTTTGTCTTGTGCTGTGGTAGCTGCACAAGTCAGATGCTGAAAGGGTCCGACACGAAGCAGAACCTGATTTAAATGAACATTTAAATGAACCGTACACACAACCGTGTACACTTTTTTAAAAAAAGAAAAATAGTATTAAAATTTGAGTTTCATTTCTCCCTTTGCCACTTCCCTTTCTCGGTTGACGGTCAACCAGCTGGTTAACTGCCCTGAACGTGCACCCTCATTCCCAGGTTGAACCAGTGCTCCCAGTGGGGCACTGGGCAGCCATATGCTACACCACCACTCTTTAATACCCAACCGCAGCGCACCGCCGCTTCCTTCTGCTGGTGGCTGAGCCCTGAGTGAGGGCACCTGCAGGAGCTCAGCAGCAGCAGCAACTGCTTCACACAGGAGCAAGAGACAGTCGATGGCTTCTTTCTGCACAACACAGCAGGAAAAGGGAGCTATTGCCTCCCCAGAGACAAAAAATGACCATGATGGATGATGTCTCGCCGTTACGTGGTTCCTGTTGAGCAGGTGACCGTGCTTTATTCTGGTTTTGCTCCCCCTCTGAATGCTTCATATAGATTTTAAAACAAAAGATAAATACCTGACAATACATCAATACATGTCAGAAATTTAACCCAAAGCAAACTTTCAGGAAGCCCGTTCCAAACATGTATGAAGTGTGTAGGTTCACCAGTTCACCAGCCTTCTGAGCGAAGCCGGACGGTAACAAGATGATAAACTGGAACAGAATACAGCAAGCTGACATTTTCTGCAGGGTTGCTTCCCCTCCCTAATTAAAAATGACCTTGATTATTTCTTAAACAGCATGACTTCTTAAAACAAAATCACAGACAATTTAAATGAAAATCGTAATTCGCAAAATGGTTTGGAGAACAAAATCACAGACAATTTAAATGAAAATCATAATTTGCAAAATGGAATAGCCCTTAAAACATTTTTCCGCCTTTGACCACCTCTCAAGCACAAGAAAGCCTTCAGTACAGTAGAGAAATCTCCCCCAACTTCTATGTAAGTTCATACCACTGTACTGAGCAAGAAAAAAACCCCACAGTCGAGCTTTCACTTCAAAGCACTATTTAGTTAAAGATGAATTACTTGACCTTTTGGCAGCGTACAATGGAACGGAAGTCAAAGGTATCCAAGGGCTTCCATCTCCTAAAAAAAATTCAGCCCCATATCTATGAGAAATTACCTTTGTGTTAGAATAGAGCACACTTTTCAGAACAAAATGTTTAAGCTAATAAAGCTTCATGGAAGCCTCGAAGAGGGCAGACAAGTCTTCTTCTGTCTGGGGACGTGGTGATAATTTAGTCACTCTCTCCTGCAAGATTAAAGAAAAACCGGATTACAGAAGGTTGCCAATAAAATTAATCAAACAGTAGCTGAACTAGGTGCCTTTGTACTAACATCCTTCAGAGAGAATAACAAGGTTTTGCAAATAAGTAATCAAGTAATTAAGGTTGAAGCATCATCAACTGTACAGTAATTTCAAGAATATATTAGTTAAAATTGCCTATAATTAAATAGAGAGAAGCCAGATTAAAAACGCAGTTCGGTTGCAAAGTCAAGTACTTCAAACAGGGGTCTTGTCAGTCACAGATGTCAGTGCACTGGTGGGGGGTATCCTGGGAACACAGCCCATTTTAAAATTCACTTGCCAGCACTGGAAAAAGGAGGTAAATATTTAGGGACCAAGACTTTCAAGATACAACATCTCTCAAAGCCCAGAACTGCCAGAGATGGGAAGAGCAAACAGCGCCTGCAACTCAGACTCCAAAAAAGAGACACAGCGAGGGACGGCGGTGAAACTGCTTTAAGAAACAGCCTGAGGCCTTGGAATCGGGATGCAAAATAGCTGTGGTTGGTCTTCGTTTGGATGGTGATTCAACAGAATTTTCGGGTGCTGAGACGAGAAGTCAGCGATCTGCTTCACCGCTCTGCTTGACAAAATAACCACAAAGGGTGGGGATGGCACTTCAGAAGAGCCCCCACGTTACTGAGGATGAGGTGTAGGTATTGCTGCTGCAAAACCACTCAGCTGAAAGGGCCTCCCATCAACGTCTTCGTGCTGTGTTGGACCCACAGGGTGTTTGCTGCTGCTGCTGCAGCGCGACGCTGCGACCGCTCCGCTTCCCCCTCAGATTTGCGGAGGGGCTGGATGTGGTTACGCAGTGAGAGGCCACCGCATGTGAACTTGAACATGTGAACTACAGACCCAGCAGGCTGAGGAACTCAGCTGGGGGATGTTCGCAGCTCGTAATCGCGATGCGTCTGAAAAGTGAAGCTTTGCGTGCAGAACCACCCCACAGGAGCAGCTCGGTGGGCGCAGCAGCAGCAGCAATCAAAGGGTCTCTCTTTCCCCACCCCCTGACCACTGCTGCTGCGCTCACGGATCTGGCAAAAGAAAGGCTAACATTCTTCTACATGGTTTTGAAACCAAATGGAAAATTCAAGCAGCACTGGGGCAAAAGTTTGTTGGTTTTTTTCAGACTCGCAATACGCCAAACGTAACAACTCTTCTCCCAAGCAACAGGCAGTGGGACCTTCTGGATCATCAAGTCCAACCATCCACCTAACACTGACAAGAAACATCACTAAACCATGTCTCTAAGCACTATGTCTGCACATCTTTTAAATATCTCCAGGGATGGTGACTCCAGCACTGCCCTGGGCAGCCCATTCCAAGGCTTAATAGCCCTTTCCGCGTAAAAATTGTTCCTAATCTCCAATCTGACCCTCCCCTGGTGCAACTTGAGGCCATTTCCTCTTTTTCTATCACCCGTTCCTTGGGAGAAGAGCCCGACCCCCCCTGGCTACATCCTCCTTTCAGGGAGTTGGAGAGAGCCAGAAGGTCTCCCCTCAGCCTCCTTTTCTCCAGGCTGAACACCCCCAGCTCCCTCAGCCGCTCCTCACAAGGTCTCCAGCCCCTTCTCCTTGTGCTCCAGACCCCTCACCAGCTCCGTTGCCCTCCTCTGGACCCGCTCCAGCACCTCAATGTCTTTCCTGTGTTGAGGGGCCCAAAACCACACAGCCCTCAAGGTGGGGCCTCACCAGTGCCCCATACAAGGGGACTCCTCAATGTCTTTCCTGTGGTGAGGGGCCCAAAACTGGACACAGCCCTCGAGGTGGGGCCTCACCAGTGCCCCAGTTCAGGGGACTGTCACTGCCCCAGTCCTGCTGGCCACACTGTTCCTGACACATGCCAGGATGCTGGTGGCCTTCTGGGCTACCTGGGCACACTGCTGTGAACTTCAAGCATAACTGTTTGTCCCAACAGAGTTCCCACCACAAATCCTGACAGTTAGAGCAGATTAGTTTTGTTCTCCCACACCCTTTCCTTCTCGCAGCGTGGAATACACCCCGTACACTTATTAGTGCCACCACCACCACACCACGCTGCCTTGCCAACACGAGTGGGCCAGTGCCGCGTTCCAAAGAAAACCTACTGCAAGATGAAAAGAAAAAAAAGAAATCTACCCAAGATGAAACTGTATAGACTATCTCTGTGGGTAAGAATGGACTGTTACGGAGCACTAATACATTTTCATCATGCCACATCTCATACACAAAAACGAGGTATGAGAAACTATGAGGTCATCTCATTTTACGCCGTACAATTAATCATCAATGCCGAGAGATGACAGTAAATGAATTAAAAGTCAATTTGAGCTAAGCTAGCAAACATCATTTTACGCCGTACAATTAATCATCAATGACAAGAGACGACAGTAAATGAATTAAAAGTCAATTTGTGCTAAGCTAGCAAACAAACAAAAAAACATTTCAACATCTTTTGGTGGAGAACCTTCCCCCTACCTAGGCAAAACATGCCTTCAATGAGATATTGTGCTTGTGATGACCCAAACCCAATTGTTTTAAAGGAACATAGTTATCAAAACAAACCTCCAAAATGCCCCAAACCAATTTACATTCATAACCTATTTGATGGCAACTCAGAGACCATCGTTTTCTTCCTGGTTTTGCCACTGCTCTTGTTGTGTGTGATTCTAGGTAGTTGGGCTTTGTGTCATTTTCTCAGGTATAAAGTAGCAATATTAATATTTACCCTCTGTTGTAAGTTGCTTTGAGATTTATGAATAAGAACTAGACATTGTAAGAGGTACTGCTGTAAAAAGTGAGTAACCTTTCAGCCTACAAAATTTTCATTGTCTCCTTAGTGTTTATTTCCCTTTCTACTTGGTGGAAATAAATCCTAAATAGAGAGAACAGTCCATAGCGTATGAATCAAACTGTATTTTTACAAGGAAGACACTGGATTTTGCTTTTGGAGTGGTGTGTTGCTCTTTGCAGTGTCTTTGTGAGTACAATTTTGTGAAACAATACAGGGTATTACAAGTTTAATCTACATTATCCTCAGGGGACCTTATTTCAAATTCTGATGGGGGTCAGTGGAACAAAAAGCCATCTGGGAAGAAAAGTGCAACTTCTCAATATGGAAAAGTTTAATGCAAAGTAAGCTTGATCATTCTCACCAGATAGCACTTGGTATGAAGGCTTTATCTATCACCCATCTTGCATACATAATTAACGGAGATCATTATGAAAAAGCAGTATCTTCTCCAAAGATCAAAGGTCCATGAAAAACATCCTCTTTTTTAAAAAGGGTGACGTTTAAAAAAAACCCAACAAACCAAACTAAGCCCTTAGCCATTCCTTCTGAATCCATGCTAAAAAAAAAAACAACAAACCAAACTAAACCCTCAGCCATTCCTTCTGAAGAACAGGCTGCAGAACTGTGCAGAAAACCAAGATACAGTTGACTATCCATCATTTGCTTCATTTTAACTGGATTCACGTAGGCCTAGAAATACCTTTTGCTTGAAAAGAAACATTTTTGTTTTCTCAAAAAACCTGTTCTTTTTATTTGACACGAAAAACTGTTTGGTTTTCTGTCTTACCTGAGGCAGAGTGCCTTTGACTAAGGCAGGGATGTCTGCTTTAGAATAACCGATTGCAGCTAAGCCATCATCAACATTCAGATCAAACAGGAATTTCCGGAGCGTGTCTGCCAAAATAAACCCCGCATCTTTGATTCTGGCAGCGCGGATGTCAGCTCCTAAAATAAGACATAATGCCTTGACTGTAGGGTGGAGAAAGAGGAGGAAGCCTGTTCTGGACTTAATTTAATCATAATATCAGCTGAATACATATCCATACATAACAGTCACTGCCCCAAAAGCACCATGAAGCAAAAAAAAAAGAGAAATCAGCCTTCACTTTACGGCTGAAATAGTTTGTAAAAGGTGAAATAAAACAAGATCAGGAGAAGCAGGTAACTGCTGCCAGAAAGACTAACTGCCACATGAGCTTAATTTCCTCTCCCTCTGTGCTTACAGGGAGAAACACTTTCGGTCTGACTAACTGCTGGGAGGAAAGAAGCTAACACATGAACGTCAATGGTATTTATTTTTTATGGACAGTGTGCCAAATGCTAACTTTATTTTAAGGCCTTGAGTTTGCTGACACCTAGAGGACGTGGAAACCACCGACTGTTCTGTTCAATTACACATTCAAAGGGCTAGAGCATGTAAACTGAGAAAGACAGGAGACTGCAGGGCAGTGTTTAAGGGGTTAAGTAAATCCTAACTTAATGCTATTTGACTATGTGCTGAGTTGAGTAGGGTAAGATAGAACTGCAGAGGAGGAGATAGTATCTTTGAGACATCTACTGAACAGTAATGAAAGCATCAGTATAAAGTGAAAAGATCACCAATATTTCTTACAGAATAGCCTGCTTCCCCTCCTTCAAAGAATGGCCAGGATTTATTGAAAAGTAACGATAAAACCATTTTCAGATAGAAGACACAGGCTCCATCCACCATATGATTTTTTTTCAAAGTGAGCTGAGCTAAATTTGTTCTCTGTGTAACCTCAATGATGTTACTCCGGAACTATGTTAGGTCCAAGGGCCACACGGAGAGATGAGTAAGAGCACAACATAGCTACAGGAAAAATATTTGCTGTGATCCTCTCGCAGTTCAGTGTTACATTCAAAGGGCCTTAAATGAACAGGAGACCAGCAAGCCCATTCGAGGAGCTCAGATATTTGGGTAGTAAGGCTGGCAGTACCAGGGGAGAGAATATCTGGGAAAAATTGACAAATAAGGCATGACAGAATCTTGTCCAAAGTCCTATGCCGTTGGAATTCTGCCCTGCAGTCTGAGCTTATCCTGGGTTTTGCTGTAGAGGAGTAGCTGGGACACAAATCAAATATCTTCAGATCGTAAAGTCAAAGAGAAAGGGAGGAGAGGAAGAAAAGAACAGTAAATGTATAAGGGCAGTTTTAAAATATTGCTATAGCTCCAGTACTTTTTGCTCCACCTAAAGGATACATCAGCCTTTGACTGCACTTAGAAAATTTCTAGCCACACGCACACCTATTTCAACTGTTTCAGAATCCACCCAGGGAGGTATTAAGCTTTTTCTGGCTGTACCCAAATTCACAGCTGTACATACACACACCATTACTATTTAGTAATCTGCGCCATGTCATAAAATACCTTCTTAGTCATTGCATTTGGCAGCATGACAGATTTGAATCAGCTACTGTAGTCAGTTGGACTCTGGACTGGAATCAGAAGTAAACACCCCAAGTGGGAATTAACAAATCCAATTCCCTGTGACATGTTTTCGGCAGAGTCCCTTTACAGCAAGGCAGACAGTAATATAGATTAAATTTCTATTGAGAAAATTAACAGAGCTTTTAAAGACAGAATTTTTGGCAGCAGCTGATACCACAAAACCTAAAGGAACTGCTTTTTAACCACTTGTTTTAAAATCAAGGAGCCACAGTCAAATTCTCTGATATGCTGCACTGGCCAGTTTTCCAGAATATTTTCTTAGACTACTTTGAGTTGTATGTTACTGCTGTAAGAACACAGCCATTTTGTAGCTTAGTATATGATTCCAGCTGGGTTTGTGTTCTGGTTTGGACTGCATACTTCAGAGGAAGGCTGAACAAACCTCATAGCCAACCTTTATAAAACAAACAGAATTTTTCCCCAGCATATTTTTTCTGACCGTGTTGTTTCACACCCTCTTTAAAACGCCGTGATATTTCCATCGTCTGTATAATGTCCCTCTCTTCCTTGAAACCCACAAAGCTTTCAGATTACTTACAGAAGGCAGCCATACACGTGACTGGATTGCTGTGACTCGCACACAGAAGGCTGACCATACAAGGGACTGAGCACAAATTTTCCAAATACCACACGAGTTGCCCAAACCACTTTCTCTCTAGGCTGCTGTGCACGTGGCTGTCACTGGTTATTAGCATGCACGGCTATTAGCAGCAGTTTAGCTACAGCACAGCCTAGTGCAGACAAAAAAACCTGAACTTAGGTATAAATAAATTAGCTTGTCACAGCTAGAAGCAGAAAAGGCCACATTCACCCACTTTTGAGCCATCACGGATGTGTCCACAGAATAGCTACTCCCTGCTTTCCCTTGGCATCGTCCACTGAGAAAATCCAACACCTACAAACAAGCTCAGGCTGACATTAAAAGACTGAAACCCACAGTTGTGCACCATGGAAAAAGGGCAGGAGTGATTCAGAACATCCCTCTGTCCTAATTCATTGCCACAGCAAAAAATTTGTTTGGCAATATGTTTCCTTTTAGCTATTCCTAACAACTGATGCACCCAAGTACTGGTTTGCTTTACGGTATCTACTCTAAAGTACCTACTCTCCATAAAGCACCAAGAGAAATGCTAATCACAGCTACTCTCTCCTGATTTGTAACAGATTTACAGTTAATTTCAGCTCTTCAGATTTCTAGGTAAGAAGCAGATTTCTCCTCTAACTCCATCATCCAATATCAAAATTCAGCATTATCCTACCTAAGTTTGTGTTATGTGTAACTCAGACTCCAGAATCTTGTTTTTTTTTAAACTTAAACCCCTGCAACAACCAACTACAGTTGTTCGCACATTTTTTCTTTTTTTTCCTCCTCCCCAAAAGATATTTTGGAAAAAAAAAATTGATTTGTATGAGTAAGTTGTATCCGTAGAGATTCCTACCTAGTATCTCTGCAGCTTCCAAGTGCCGCTCAGGACGTATCTGTGCCGTAAAAGCAAACACTGCTGGGGATGTCAGCACCACAGAAAGGCCATGTGGCTGGGGAAAAAAGAAAAAAAAAGAAAGGAAAAAAAGAGTAAAATCACATCAACAGGACACATACTTTCAACTTCAATGTGCTTTAATTGTGAGATAACAGAGAACCGAAATGTATAATATGAAAACAAAGATAAACCGAGTTTTACCACTAAAGAGTGATCCACATTATAATCCTTTGGTTTATAACTTTTCACCAAACCAGAAATAGGGTAAGACATTCCATGGCTGGAACAGAGAGTAGAGAGAAAAGTGGTTAGAGCAGCTATCCTGGCATTTGGAAAATTTGTGTTCAGTCCCTCATGTGGTCAGTCTTCTGTATGCAAGTCTCCTAGGTACACATACTCAGAAGGTATTTAAGAACATATATGGTATGGGTATTGGGTATAGACAACCCTCACCCCTCTGCACCTTAGGGACCTAGATGTAAAAAACAGCAGCTCCTTACTCTGTGAATGTGAAGTTATATTACTCCACTGTCTGGCCTGAAAGATTCAGTTGCTAAAGTAATACAGCTATGCCAAAAATAGCATAATATGCATCCCTACCTGATCACATTGTCTGAGAAAAATATATACTAATTTTAAAGTGTAATTAAAGAGTGGATTTGCTCAAAGCAAAGGAATGAAGGAAGGTCTCTGAAGAGAAAGATTGCTAGTAACTTCTCCACACAGTTCAGGCTTAGGCTTTGCTTCTCTGAGGTTTTCACCCCTATGAACCTACGTTGCCTTGTGATATTATTTACAGCTCATTTCAGCCTGCTGAGTGCCTGCCCCGCAGACAAACTTACAGACGATTGCATCAGTTCAGGAATGGCACCAGATTGCCTCATTGCTGCCTCACTGCACAACAGCTGGCATGAAATTCAACATTTTAAATGCTATTGATGGTGGGTGGTTGTTTTTTTTTTTTTTCCTTACTATGCTTTTTAGTATCAAGGAAGGTAAAGAAGTCTGTGTTTTGTAATTTTCACACAACTGGATTTGAGTATCACCAGCCAGAATACACAACCCTCATACACATAAATGCCAAGAGCCCATCAATTTCTCACAACACACAGCTCTCCCTGCATCACAGGCCGGGGTACAATAAATTCAGCAACAAAGGCAGCGATGTCTTTGAGAATCTGAAACAAACACTAGCTAGAAGCTGGCCTTGGAAGGGGTTAAACATTCTTCTGTACTCACCAGAGATGAACACCAGCGTTGCCAAAGCCAATACCAGCAAAAGCACTTGCAAGGTGCATGTTGGCTCTGGCTTCACGGTCTTCAGGGTCTCTGATGGCTCTGTGCACCAGGGAGAAAATGGTACCAATGAATTCACAAACAGATTGGTAATTCAGGGTGGAGAAGGGAGGGAGGGCTTCTTTATGGACAGATATAAAAAACCCTCTAAGATAAGCTGAGATAACAATGCTGGAAATAGGATTGATTCACACTTCAGTCAGAGAACAATCTTGCTTCTGGATCAGTAAGTAGATCACAAGGGTTCAGTGAAGGGCAAGTTTCCTTTCACTTTTCCAAAAACTGAGTAAATAGAGTGAATTTAGCTGTGTTCACCTCAGTGATGGTTTAAATAATTCTACTTGGGAGCTTTGGCAATCCTATGCACAGTTCCAAGATCGCTCCAGCTTTTTCACCATCTCATTAGGTGGTGGTGAGAGGTGGACATTCCATCTGTGCAGGAAGAGGACAAGGTTCCTTGCCTTCCTACACAACAGATTGTTTGTGTTGTTTGACAACACAGAGAAAAAGGTCTCACGGGTAGATGCCACAGGAACAATAAACAACTACTTTGATTTTGACTACAAAAAATTCCACACTGATCTGTAATGGGAGTGCACATGGTACACAGAAGCTGTATACGGGCTAAAACTGTATCGGTAGGGATCAAAACCAACTCCCAGTTAAGACAAAACTTAATCTAAATTGAAAGTCTTCTAAATATGAACTAGTTTTCAGTAAATGCATAATTTTGCACATTCGTAAGTGCATGCGGTTACCTTCTTGATAGATGTCTAAGTATCTTAATTTACACTGAAGGTGACGGATATTACACCAGCAGTATTTCCTTCAATATGTTACATATTCCCTTATACTGTCATAGAAAGAGGATTCTTGAAAAAAATATGTGAATGCACATTAACTGAGCAGCTTGAAATACTTTTAACTGAGGACTTATAAAATAGATTCACAGAGGCATTAAAAAGCTACCTCCTCAAAACAAGCTAGTAACCCTAATTGTACTTTCAATTTTATTTGAAAAGCTTTTTGCCTTATTTTAGCCTAAAATTCAAGTTCTTCTCAGCATCCCTTTATTGGGCACCGAAGACGGAATGTGCTGTGAAGGGGGTGGCTGTTAAATGTCTTACCTTTTCAAATATTTAGCCACAATGCGCAGAGCATGAAGAGCCCAGACATCACTGATGGGGTTGCTGCCTTGGTAAGCTGGTCGGTTGATGGGGTTTGAAGGGCAGGGACCCCGCATGTTGTAAGGAAGAGCGGTGTACGATTCTAGAGCATGGCTAAAAGAAAGGTTTAATAAATGAATTTTTTTAAAGTGGGAGAGCTCCATTTTACTCCCCCGCTGCCCTCTGAATGCAGGTTGTTCTTATTTGGGCAACCTGGTCTAGTTGGGGGTGTCCCTGCTGACTGCGGGGGAGGTCGGACTAGATGACCTTTGGAGGTCCCTTCTGGCCTGGGCAATTCTATGCTTCTATGATTCTATTTACTTCTGGTGTTCAACAAAAACGGAAATACTGTCTCATAGGGAGCTGGGAGAAGGCTGGGTGGGCACCTCCAGAGTGCTTCACCCTCCAACAGACAGACAACCACAATCTATCAGCTCACACCATGCTTAAAGTCAGGTTGGACCTTGAGGTGCAATGCTTTTTGGTGAAGAGCACTGTGCATCTGCAATGGGTGCGTTTCTTTTCTGTAGGACAGGGATTGTAAGTGGCTTTAGCACTGGAAGCATTGTAAACCACCTTTCTTTTAAAAAGCACTTTCTTTTTAAAAGTACCTTTAAAAAATTAGGAGTGTGATATTTAAGCTAAGTGGAACTGCCGACAGTCTCATCTCCCAGATAATCGTGAATTTGGCTACATAAAGAAGGGGCAATGCCTACATTACTACATTTAGATACACAAAACTATTTTTATTTATGAACAAATGCCTCAGTTCCATTGCAGGCAGTGCAGCTTGAAATACTTCACCAAGCTTGAGAAATCACACATTTCACTGTGTTTCACTATACTATTAGTTTAATGTACACAGTACCCAGAAGCAAAGTAAGCTCTGGCCCTCTGAATAGGAACCTCCATGCATTTTGTGCAGTTAACAGCTGTAGGTTTAAGACCAAGAAAATTTTGTGCCAAGTGAAAAGCAGATTATGAAAGAGGTTCTGAAGATGGTGATAACTGGACTAAGACCTGCCCCGTGTCCAGGCAGGGTTTGAATGTCTCCAGAGAAGGAGACGAAGGAGACTCCACCACCTCCCTGGGCAGCCTCTTCCAGGGCTCTGCCACCCTCAAAGTGAAGAAGTTCCACCTCATGTTTAGATGGAACTTCCTGTGTTCAAGTTTTGTGCCCATTTCCTCTTGTCGTGTCACTGGGCACCGCTGAAAAAAGACTGGCCCCATCCTCCTGACACCCACCCTTTAAATACTTATAGGTGTTGATCAGATCCCCCCTCAGCCTTCTCCAGAATCCTGTACTCTATTCCCTGCCATGTCTATGAGACATGCTAAATGCAGGCGTAATTGTGATTAATAATCTACTTAATCTCTTAAAAAGGGACACCTGGACTCTCTCCCTGACAACAACCATCCTGGAAGAAAATGGTTTCTCCAGTGCACTGCAAAAACATTAGAATTTCTGCAAATGAATCTTTTGTTTCCTTACATTCTGAGGGGGAGTACTGAAATTAAGAGGAATGTATAACACAGACCACCTTAACAAGAACAGGAAAGAGAGAAAAAAGACTATCCTGTTGTGCTCCTAAAATATATTTTCTCTACAATCATCACAGCAAAAATACAAAACTGTAATAAATTCAAGTAGCAGCCTATACAGAAAACTCACCAAAGCACATCAAAGCCACTGTTGGCCACTATTCGCTCAGGCATAGACAGTGTATGTAAAGGATCAATGATGCCTAATGTTGGCTTAATGGCTCTTGAAGCAATACCTGCAATATGTAAGTAAGGAAAATGGGTTAAAGCTTTTTTGCAACAAAATAGGATGAGACGAGCTTAAAGTTCAAAACGTAACAATAATGAGGGGAAATGACTTGAAACTATGAAGATAAAAGCAGAGAGAGAGAGAAGGGAGAGAAGGGAGAGGAAGAAGTATCTGTGAATCTAAGTCTTACTGATGATGAAGTCCTCGTAACAGTTATATGATCTGAGACTGTTGCCTGAAGTGAATTATTCCAGACAATGCTCTCTATTTACAACCCCCCCTGAGCAGCCTATACTTCCAAAACGTCTGTGCTGGATGGTATCTGCAACATTATTCTTAGATTTGTATCTCCTGCGAACAATCAGAGGGCAAGACTGGTTTGTGTCTACAATCAATTGCTATTGCTAATTGCTGACTTCAGCATCTGTAATAACCATGCCTCCATATTTTGGTTAAGGGGGCACAGCTGTAGCTTTGAGAGAGAGAGACATACAGACAGACACACACAGACAGACTGACTGACTGTGTATAGTCTCCAAAACTCTTGAGCTACAGTCACAGCTCCTTACTGCACCCATTTGAGTCCCGAGTGCTGCCATATAAAATCCACACGTTTAGAACTAAAACCTCAAGACAGCTACAAAGCTTAAGATGACATTTTAGCCTTCATCTTTATTCGCCAGAGATGAAAAGGCCAAAGGAAGACAGTGCCCCTCACTCGCACAGCATCTCAGGCCTGAGGTTTCAAAAGTCAGGAAAAGGAACATTTGGTTGCAATTACACAACAAAGACACAGAAGTCTTAAAAGCAGAAAGCAAAATACAGAGGAAATAAGGAACAGTTGTTTGACCCTGAATGTAAGTAGAAATTTCCTTTGCAATTAACATTTTCTGCCATTTAAGAACTTGAAAGATTTTAGTTTCCTGTTTTGCCTCCAAACTATAATCCACTGCATTACATAGGTATTTCATTATGTCAATATGCTACAAATTTAATTCAAAGAGGAAACCTTCAAATTTGCCTGTGGCAGTTGAATCAAACAAAATGACACCTAGGATGACATGCAGTATCCCCTTCTTTCAAGGCAGGGAAACGATGAAGACACTGGAAAAGCGATTGTCTTGAAAAGCAGACACACAACAAAAATCTCACCGGTTTTTACTTTTAGTTCTTTGAAGTCAAAAATGGCAACGCCAGTGGTTTCACTTCCAGTTCCAGCCGTCGTAGGAACTTAAAAGAAAGAGTGGGGATAACAGCAAATAATAAGTAATGCATAAAATCACAAAATAAATAAATAAAATCACAATGTTAAGGCCGCCAAAAATACAGGACCCAGGAAATCTGGGTCAGGACCCAGTCTGGGTCAAACTTTTGTCAGTTAGGTTGATGGTTGGACAAGATGATCTTTAAGGTCCCTTCCAACCTAGAAGATTCTGTGAAATCTCAGCGGTATCCCCGAGGTATCCAAAGCCAACAGGTGAAAGAGAAACTTTGCTCTCTTTTCTCAGTAAAATCAGTCAAACTGAGCTAAACGAGACAAACTAGTGAAAAAACTGAAGTAAACAGCATAATTGCCACTGAGAACGACTCGAGGAGAAGGCAGGCCATAGGAAGGTGGAACTGTAGCAGTAAACTGATTTCTGTAGAAATATCATACGTGCTTTACCTGCAATGAGTGGCTTGAGGGGCACGGTGACGGGCTTCCCTTTCCCAATTGGAGCATTGACGTAATCCAAGAAGTCTGAGGTCGGGCTGGACGCGTACAGGTTGGCAGCTTTACAGGTGTCCATCACAGACCCACCTCCAACCGCAACGTAGGCATCAAACTCTCCCTTTTTAGCAAATTCAATGGCGTCCAGGAAACTTGGAAAACAAGAAAAGCTTTCCTGTTAGTCAGGAGAATCATAGAATCATAGAATGATAGAATCGTCTAGGTTGGAAGAGACCCTTGGGATCATCGAGTCCAACCATCTACCCTACTCTACAAAGTCCTCCCCTACACCATGTCCCTTAGCACTGTATCTAAACGGCCCTTAAACACATCTAGGGATGGTGACTCCACCCCCTCCCTGGGCAGCCTGTTCCAATGCCCGACCACTCTTTCTGTGAAAAATTCCTTCCTAATGTTCAGTCTAAACCTACCCTGTTGGAGCTTGAAGCCATTCCCTCTCATTCTGTCACTAATTACCTGTGAGAAGAGACCAGTACCAACCTCTCTACAGTGTCCTTTCAAGTAGTTGTAGAGAGTGATGAGGTCTCCCCTCAGTCTCCTCTTCCTCATACTAAACAGCCCCAGCTCCTTCAGCCACTCTTCGTATGATTTGTCTTCTAGGCCCTTCACTAGTTTCGTTGCCCTCCTCTGCACTCGCTCCAGCACCTCGATATCTCTCTTGTATTGAGGTGCCCAAAACTGGACACAATACTCCAGGTGTGGCCTCACCAGTGCTGAGAAAGAAAGTTAAGAGAAACTATTAAGTTAGTTTCACCGGCAGAAGTAGTACCTTTGGTCTGTTGGTTCCACCCGGACATTATCGTACATCTGAAAGTTTATTCCATGTTTTGCCAAGGAATTCAATACTGCATTGACAGGAGGGAGCTTTGAGAGGTTCTTATCTGTCATCAAACACACCCTTCTAGCACCAAGATTCTGCAGGTCCTACAATAACAATGACATTAAAAAGCAAACAGCTGGTATAAAATCATACCCGGAAGTATTTAAATACTAATCCAAATCAACAGAACCATTTAAAAATAATTAAAAGCACAACCTGAAAATACTTGGTTATTGTGAAATTTTGGAAACAGTATCAGCTAAACAGGATTAACCACATACATTTAGGACGCAGAGAGCAGAGAGCAGCACAAAGCATAAAGCTGCCAAACTTACACAGCTGAAGTCTTATGATAAAAGAAAAGTAATGCTAAAGATGATGAACAAGTGCAAAACACGTGGAACCACTTAAGATGACAGTAAAATGTAAAATATTTTTTTGAAATATCTTTTTCCTACATAATTCCTGTGACATAAAAAGGCTTTTCCACAGGTTAGGTCTCCCCTAACTGCATACCAAAGCACAGCATTAAAAAATCGAAAGTTTAGTATTGAATGTTATATTTTTTAATTTATATTTTAATATTGAATATTAATTTCTTAATGAAAAATCAAAATAAGGTGGCAGAAAGAAAAATACTACATTCTAACTTTTGCTAAATTAATTGTCGCAACAGCAATACAATACATGTGGTTCAAACAAATCCTAATGTTGTTTTAAGACGGAAGTGCTGTCTAACTTCATGTACTGACCATTAATTTACTTTACAAATTTGCAAATTCAGAACTGTTAATGCCGTAAATGCCAAGAAAAGAGGAAAAAATGAAAAATGACAAAAAAAACCCCAAAACCAATGATAAAGGCAAACAGGAAGAATGTACTCAGGTGAATCATCTCCCACTGCTGAAACAAAAACTCTACACTTTCACAGTGCCAACTCAGAACTGAATACCCACCTAATTTAACGAAAAGTCTCCGATTCATTTTAATGAGCGCTAGAAGAGGTGAAAGTGATCTTGAGAAAACCCTGGTGAGTCACCAGGATTCAAAACTTTTTGACTTAAATTCCCCGTCAGAGAAAAATACTGTTGCATAATCCTGGCAAATCATCCAATGATCTAATTATCCATTAAGCTGCATTTCATGTACTCACTTATACCATAGCAACATTGATGTAATGTGCTTCTGCTCTCTACCCAACAGTATTTTCCAACCTTTTTACACTGATATATATGACCACACATACTGCAAAGCAGTGGAGATTCAGACACACTATATATAAGCTTTTCCTCATGAAATTGATTGATAGCACTGGCAGCCTTTTAAAAAAAACAGACAACTTTTCACCAGGGGTGGATTTGCACTATGGAAGCTTACCATGCCAACCTCTTTAGTAACTCCTTCTCCGTACCGGATGTTTGAAATGCCAACCTCTTTAGTAACTCCTTCTCCGTACCCGATGTTTGAAATGGCCATCTGCAAAAAACAAAAAAAAAACCAGAAACCATATTTTTTCTAAAAAAAAAAAAAAAAAAAAAAAGAACATATTTTTTTTCTGGAAAAATGGGAAAAATGGGAAATGGCATCTAGTCCCAAGCAGTCAAAGTGAAATGTACAAACTTACTGATGTAAATATTTGTTAAATGCCGTATTTGGATGTGTAAAAAACACTACTTTTAAATAAATACTTACTGATGTAAATATTTGTTAAATGCCATATTTGGCAGTGTAAAAAACACTATTTTTTAAGTAAGATGTATTTTATTATTAAATCTACCTCAAATGCATAGTCTGTGCTTCCCAAGGTAGGCCGTTCAGGGACTGGAATGGAAACAAAACAGTAAAATTAGGGAACAAAATGTGACTTCAACCTGTATCTCAACACTAAAGTTGATTGATTCCTTTGTTTTTAATACATTACTAAGCACTAATACATTTGCACAGGTCACCTTGGCTTGTCAGGCTAACAGTTACCCATTTCACACCTTGCTGTTTGTGAGATTAAATGATCCGAGTACTTAATTTGATTCGTATAATTCAGCAAAACGAGAGTGTTTTCTCCTTCTTTCAAGAATGAATTCCTTCCTATAAAAGCTGAGTAGGTTAGTGGGAAATTGCATGAGAATTTGTTTGCAGTCTGCAAAAAACAGAAGAGTAAATAGCAAGTAGAACCGAGAACCTGCAGAACACACAGGTTGAGAGGTGTTACAAATACATAGGGGCTACATAACCTTCAGAACAACTTCTAAAACAAACCCATGAGACATCCTCTGTATGCACCTGGTGAGACAACACCTTTTGTAGGTGTGAGAGTAACACTGACAGGTGTTTACACTTCTTTTTGCTTCTGCTTAGTCCTAAACTGGCAGACGAAACCGAATTGCTTGCTTGAAAATCAAGAAACTGCATGCATTGCTAATAACAAGCAGAGTTTTAATAAGAATCAGTGTGTCACTATCAGCTTTGTTTAGTAGAAGAGAGAAGATATTTACAAGGACGGTACTTCAGTCACATCCTCTTTGCCATGTCATTCTCGCATAGATTTCCACAAAATTCTCTATTTCTTGCATATCCCGATTTTGCCACAAAGTGAGGCAAACTGCATGAACTGAAACAGCCCATTCTTCTCCAAGAAAAGATCAGATGAGGCATTCTGCTCTTCCTGCTGAACTCGTGCCTTCTGTCTGCTGTATTAATTGAAAATATGCGATTTGGATTCAGATCCAATGAGCGAAGCCATAATAATGAGTCTTACAGACACTCTGGGGTGCACTGAGGCACTGACCCACAACAGCAACAGATAAGATGTATTAAAATCCTTTATGCACTTTCTATTCAAGGCCAGGCCAGCTGCTATCAGCCCTTTCATTGCCATCTCTTGCCAGGCTGTACGTGTTTGACCTCTCCTCGTGTTTGAGCCTGCTGTACCCTCAGTCATTAATTTGACAGGCTAAGAACATGTCCAAGCCATTTACTCTCTTGCTTTCTGACAATATAATAGGTGCCCTGCTGTTATATTCTGCAGTCAAACTTAACTTTCAGGAAGAATTTTACTGAGTTCAAAAACTGCACTATTTCCTCAAACCCTGTAAAAAACCACAGTGAACATCTCTTTTTTTTTTTTATGCTACAGTCACTGTTAAACCAATTCCTGCTATTTACAGAGGTACTGAACTGATACCATCTTGCTACATTATAGATTCAATTGCTGCCTAAATCTTACAGAGAGGGTTCTTAACTAAGACTTCTATGTAACAACAGATTAGTTTGAATTGACAGAGTAGGTCATCAAGCAGATGAGCAGAAGAAGGAGATTGTATTTCTCAGCTGCGCTATTGTCTTGCTATATGATGATCTTGCACAAAGCCAGCATCTGAACTTATATTAGCTTTTCCATATGTGAAATGGTAATTCTTTAAAGAGTGTCTTAAAACACATAAACCAAGCCACGCAGAATCACACATGGCTGAAACTATGTCCAAAAATACTAATTTTTATAGAAAATATATAGCGTACCTTCTAGGTACCTTTTAGAGTATTAAACTTGGCATATGTGGGATGTATTATAATGACTAAGAACATCTGGGGACAGACCAGCACTCAGCTATAGCTAGAGCTATCCCCATAGACTCTCTACAGTCAATGCAAACAGAAATTCCTCTCCGGGTGAGTTGGTCACTTGGTGCAGCTCACCGTCCTTACCCCACAACCTGGGCTTGAGCAAGCAGTGCTCTTGGGACCAAATGTATAAAAAGCCTATGGAGATTACATTCCCCAAGCCAAAGATGACCTTTGTGAATAGCTGCTCTTTATTTATATATCTCTTCTTGTTTCTTTCCTGTTGTAACAGATGCACATTTCTCCCCTCGAAAGCAGATCTAGAGTGGGGATGGCTCAGGTGATGACAGCAGTAGGAGCCAGAGCGAATTTCTGATGAACTTGCTCATCAGAATGCTGAGGGAGGGGCAGGATGTCACTGAGGGCGGGACAGGATGCTTTAGTCGTGGCTTACGTGGGAAGGGTAAATCTCTCCAACCGCAACCGCTATCCTTGTACAGTTGCAAAATAACAGACTCCTTACTTTATCCTTTAAAGCGTTCTCTTCCCTGTATCTGTTACCTGCGCCCTCGGCCCGGCTCACACCGATAGGCACGGCTCCACAGGGCCATGGCCTCCTGCAGAACCATTTTGGAGACACACGATAACTCTTACCTTGGGAATAAGTGTGGCCATGGCTCGGGCACCGACATCTAGTTAAAAAGGTTAAAAATAAAATAATAATTTAAAGAAATTAAAATGTAGGCGTAGTTAAAAGCAGAAAACTGAAGCGGAAAGACGAATCAACCCTGGCCTAGAAGTCCCCCGGTATGTCCCCCCACTGAGGCCTGCTCCCCCAGCCGGGCTGTGGAGGGGCCTGGCCGGCCCTGGGGCACTGAATTTCACTGAAATTGTGAATTTCACAGTGAAATTCAGTAGGGGGACACACCGGGGGACTTCTAGGCCAGGGCTGATTTGTCCCCCGGTGTGTCCCCCCACTGAGGCCTGCTCCCCCGGCCGGGCTGCGGAGGGGCCTGGCCGGCCCTGGGGCACAGCGGCTGGGGTCCCACCGCCGGAGGAACACGGCTGGGTCCCGGTATTATCCCCTCCGTGTGGGGCGAAAGCAGCTTTCCCCCTTCGAAACACCACGGCGGTGGTCGCCCGGCCTCGGCCCCCGCCCCGCCGCCGCCGGGGCACCTGCCCGTGAAGCCGGGGGTGGAGGTTGGCGGGGGGGGAAACACATCGGGCCTGAGGCGGCGGCGGCGGGTCCCCTCGGCCGCCCTCCTCCCCCGACCTCGCTGAGGCGGCGGGTCCCCTCAGCCGCCCCGGCCCGGCCCGCACTCACGCTGCCCGCTGCAGCTGCCTCAGGAGGCGGGCTGCCCGCTGCCGCCCGGCCGCCATCGCCGCGGCTCCGTGGGGACGGGACGGGGGCCGAGCCGGCGGCGGCGCCTCCTCCCGGGACCGGGGGAGGTGGGGGGGGCTCCCACCCGCTCTCCCAACCCCGCTTCAGTCACAAAAGTTGACCGAAACCCGATTTTGCCCGGTTGAAAGAAGAATTGCCCCGATTCAGGCCCAAACCGAGGAACCTTCACGGCCTCAGGAGGGCCAGAAAAGCAGCGGCACCGCCGGAGAGCCTCATCCCGGCTGGGAACGGACAGGCTGCCCGGGGTATTCACTGAATTTTTTAGAGTTGGAAGGGACCATAGAGATCATCTAGTCCAACTCCCCTGCTGAAGCAGGACCACCCAGAGCTTGTCAGAGCATGTTACTCAGGACTGCATCCAGGCGGGTCTTGAAAATCTCCAGAGAAGGGAACTCCACCCTGGGCAGCCTGTTCCAGGGCTCCGTCACCCTCACTGTGAAAAAGTTCTTCCTCATATTCAAGTGGAACCCTTTATGTTCCAACTTGTGCCCATTGCCCCTTGTGCTCTCACTGGGAACCACTGAAAAGAGTCTGGTTCCCTCCTCCCTCAGCCCGCCCTTGAGATACTTGTCAGCATTAATAAGGTCTCCCCTCAGCCTTCTCTTCTCCAGACTAAAAAGTCCCAGCTCTTCCAGCCTCTCCTCATAAGGGAGATGCTCCAGTTCTTGAATCATCTTTGTAGCCCTATGCTGAACTCTCTCCAGCAGTTCCCTGTCCCTCTTGAACTGGGGAGCCCAGAACTGGACGCAGTATTCCAGTTGTGGCCTCCCCAGTGCAGAGCAGAGGGGGAGGATGACCTCCCTTGACCTGCTAGCCACACTCTTCCCTACGCAGTCCAGGATTCTGTTGGCCCTCCTGGCCACAAGAGCACACTGCTTGCATATTGTCATTTTCATTTTTAGTGGAGAAATTTCACCAATAACGTCATCAGCAGCATAAAATACTTCTCGGGGGTGTGTGCGCCTGGACAAAGCCATGCTCTCTGGTTCGAGCAGGTCCAAGATGCACCCCTGGAAACGCCAGGAAGATGGGAGGTCTGGAACAAATCTCAAAACAACTTTTTTCTCCACGTTTCAAAGCGCTTCCCGCCCCCCGTTTTGCCCAGCTGCTTCCACCGAAGGCTTGGTATCAACGCTGTGTCCATGAGACCATTCCTGCCACCGGCAAGGCTGCTCAGCACAGCATCCAGAAACGTTTAAGAGGCAAAGAGGGCCATCCCGTGCACAACCCATAGGTTGAGGACTATGGTCAGTCCACCCATGGCACCCACATCCCTTCAGCCCCAAGTTGCTGAGCAGACGCCTTACACAGAGGTTTTGCTTTTTGATCGTGCTCAATCTGCCTTCCAGAACAGAGTGAGATAACAGAACTGGTACAGGATCACCTAGCTTTTTCAAGAACTCATTTGCAGCAAAACATTACATTATCGTAGAATCGTAGAATGGTTCAGGTTGGAAGGGACCTTAAAGATCATTAAGTTCCAACCCCCTGCCCTGGGCAGGGACACCTCCCACCAGACCAGGCTGCTCAAAGCTCCATCCAGCCTGGCCTTGAACCCCTCCAGGGATGGGGCAGCCACTTCCCTGGGGAACCTGTTCCAGTGTCTCAGCACCTTCACAGATACCAGATTCTTCCTGAGATCTAAGCTAAATCTACTCTCTTCAGCTCCCAAGTTAACCACTCACAAGTTTACTGCTTGAAAGTTTGGGAACTTAATTCACTTGAGATTGCTGGAACCTGTTTTACTACCGCTCTTTAGCGGGAATGGCTGCAGATGAGCATCCTTCCTAAGCCACACATTGGGATGGCAAATTGTATTTTTTATTCCAAGCATACAGGAGGCACTAGAGAGTTCAAAAGAGTTGATATAGAGTTCAATAAACAGAAGTCTGAGATCATTTCCAATATCTGCTCTTAAATTGTTTGGTAAAGAAAACCACTGTGAAACTATTTCTATGAAATGATGAACTACTGTTAATACAGGGAGAAATTTAGGTGTTGACCTGCTGTTGATACAAATACTTCTAGAATCATAGAATCACAGAATGGTTCAGGTTGGAAGGGACCTTAAAGATCATCGAGTTCCAACCCCCTGCCCTGGGCAGGGACACCTCCCACCAGACCAGGTTGCTCCAAGCCCCATCCAGCCTGGCCTTGAACCCCTCCAGGGATGGGGCAGCCACAGCTTCTCTGGGCATCCAGAGAAATCTGTTGAATTCAAAGCTGGTCAGCAGCTTTGACTTCTTTTTTTAATCCAGAGAACTCTAGGAAATACGTACAACTCCTTATGCCCTGCAATAAATCTTACAGTAAGCTTTAACATTCCTTTTGTGACTTGGCCTGAATGACACAAGAGCTGAGTGGCAGAAGCTGATTTCCAGAGCAAGAGCTCCACCGTCAGGCCACTCGCCCAGAGCAGAGACCAGCAGCCACATCCTTTGACTTTATCTTCTGAGCAGGCTGTCACTTAATCAAAACACAAGTCACGGCTGCAGCCCACCCCCATCCCAGTTACCGGAGCAAGGGACAGCTTTACTCTGACTCTGTCCTGCCTGGAAATGCTGCAGCCACGGCCAGCCATGAAGCCAGGTTGTCCCCTGGGGGAGAACTAGGACTCCTGACCCCCTCGATCACAGAATCAATCTTCTAGGTTGGAAGGGACCTTAAAGATCATCTTGTCCAACCATCAACCTAACTGACAAAAATAGACACCCGCACAACAAACAAGGAGCATCATCACTAAACCATACCTCCCAGCACTTCATCAACCCATCTTTTGAACACCTCCAGGGATGGTGCCTCAACCACCTCCCCTTGGATGGAGAACACAGCCCTCCTTGACTGCCAAACACGGGACATTTTAGAAAGACCTAAAGGAGCGTATTTATTGACAAACAGGTGTGGGAACAGAGCACCGGGCGGGAGGCTGGCAGTGACAGTCCCTTCCCACGCCTCGCTGGGCATCCCTAAGCCCACGCTGCACGCAGTCCCCTCTTGTCCCTCACGCCTTCTTTCTCTTGCCACCACCAGCGATGCTGCTCGCGGATCGCTGCTGCTGCTGCCGCCGGGCTCCCCCTCTCTTGCTGCTTCGGCCCACCCGCTGCTGCCGGCGGCCACGCTTCCCCCGTTTGGACTGCTTCTTGCCCTTGGCGGCGGCCGCCTCGGCTTCCTCCTGGCGCAGCTGCTTGTTGACGGCGCGGGTGATGTCCAGGACGGGCTTCTTGCTGCCCATGTCCCGCAGCAGCTCCAGCTGCCGGCTGCGCTCGGCCGCCAGGTTGCCCAGCAGCGGCTCGAAGCGACGTTTCTTGCCACCATTGCGGGACGGCGGCTCCGCCGGTTCCTTGGGCAGCCGGGGCTGGAAACGGCCGAGGGAGGCGGTGGAGACACGGGCGACCCGGGCGACGTGGCCCAGCTCCTCCCGGCTCTGGTGGCCGGTGGGGTGGAGGGGGGCGGCGGGGACGGCGGTGCCGGCCCGGTGGGCGCGGGCCAGGTTGCGCAGGCGGTTGAGCTCGTTGCGGGCCACCCGTTCCCGCTTCTCCCGCCGCAACCGGGCGAACTGGTCCTCCTCCGGGTCGGCGTTCGCC